CACGTGAACAGCAGTCAGGCAAGCTCTAAAGTGACCGTCAAACGCCATGTGCTCACATAAACAAAGCATTACAAGGCAAGTAGGCAGTTCTTACAGCTTGATCCTTGTACTTGTGGGCTAACTCTCTGGCCATGCTCAGGCACATTTGGTCTCTTCTCTTCGGAATATATGTATCTAGCCTCATTGACTATGTGAAGTCTCGGTAAGCTATATCACCATATTAGCGTTGTCCTCCTTGCTCTCTCCAACTTAAGCTCAATCTTCTAAATTGAAGCTCTCTAAAAAATATCTTAAGATGGGGATATAATTTAAATCTGTATGGATTGTGGAACAACTATGCAAAAGGGCCACTTCTGGGAGGGTTCTCACGATCTACCTCCACAATGCTCTTATAAATCGAGCCACGTGCAATGCTTTGTTTTTGTGTTAAAATCTGACGTTTGGCATTGACCTTAGGGTTTGTCTCGTGGGCTGGTCTTTGGGACATGATCAGGCTCAGTTGCTTTGCCCTATTTGGAATACAACTTTCCACAGTGTTTACAAAAAAACCGTAATAGAAACATTTAGTAACATTGACATAGTATATCGTATCTGCTATTATAGTTTTCCCGCAATACCTTAGTATTCAGAATTGAACAGTTAGAAGGGATTCAAACTCAATATTATCCTTAGCTTATTTGCTTAAACAAGAAAATTGTACGCGCAATGTTCCTTTAGCGTGCCTAGACTTCCTATTCGGTAAAAAAGGCATTAGCTGGAGCTAAGCACACATTTTTAGAGGAAAGAAAAGTGATCAAGTCTGAACCGGGCCGGAAGCCAGCTCACGTCAAAAATTCCATTTCGAAACGAAGGCAACCGCAAATTACTAGGCGATATTACAGCACCATTTAAGCAAATCCCACGTCAAATGCCAAATTGATTTTGGGGTCTGGACCGCAGTTCGTTTATGGCAATGGGCAAACTCATTACTATATATCGAATGAGCAGCATCGCCTTTGGAATTATGCCGTTACATATTTGGAAATGTTGATGTAAAAAATTGATTATGTGGTCACCTGATGCTGCTCTGGCATTTTTTTACCCTTGTGCTCATAACCTGGCCTTCGAGCCAACCACAACATTATCCCATCCTGGTGAAATTTTTACCTAGTATATTCTTAAAACACTACAGCGTTGGCAGCAAACAGCCAACACGAATTGGTTTAAGGACTTTTATGCATTTGCTATGCATCTAAGGTTCAAAGTGTGCGCATATATGTCGGGAAGTGCATCATCAAGACTTCTCCTTAAAGAAGGATTTGAAATGATTGGCTCAATCTGCTTTCGTGCTCCATAGATAACCTTTTAACAGCGGAATCGAGAGTGCCGTAAAAAACATTTGGACAAGATTCCAATCGCGATTCCGCTTAGTATATTCAAGCGTAGATGCCGAAGACGATAATAAGGCGAAATTCCTTACATTGGAGGCTGTTTGATTTCAACTTCAATCTAAATATTTGCTTCGAACGAATGTTTCAGCAGTCAAAATCAGCTGTCATTCTTGACCTTCTTAACGCCAATGAAGAAACACTAAATAATTGATGTAGCGTTCCAGGGCTACGCACCAGCTGGAAGAAGGCAGTAAGTGAAGCTGGATCCTTGTATTCCAAATAGGACAAAGCAACGGGGCCTGAGCATGATCTGCAGGCCAGCCCACGACTACAAAGGCCAGACAATACATAAAGTGACCGCATAAAGCCATGTGATCGCATAAGCAAACTATTACAATTGATACTTGATTTTGATAATTAACTGCAAGGTAAACTTTGTAGTGCCTAGAGACTTCTGATCGGGCTAAAGAAGAATAAAACTGGAGCTTAATACATGCATTCTAGGGAGGACAAATGTATTAAACCTAAGCTTGGCCCAAAGACCAGACCACGTGGACAAAAACCAGACGAATCTTGCAGTAGCCGTCGGATACCGTGTAGTCATGTGAAGAAGCATAACACTTATGAAACTTTTTTTGAGAACTACAATAACAACATTGTTGCCGAACAGGCATGTTGCGCATCTTTACCGGCTATTTCAAATCAGCCCTATCATGATTTAACACAAATGCAGATCATTGGTAAGCGATTTATTTCGTTGAAAAAATGTCAACTTTTGCGCATCTTTGAAGCAAAATATACAAGCTTTACATTTGCTTAAATTCATTGGGACTTTTCATTGTATGCTACGGTGGCGCGGGTCTTTTGAGCTTCGCCTATTGGCGTCGGGTCCAGTTTAACAAGGGCTGGGTGGCTGAACATGTATAACGTGCACAAAATGCTAACCTTAGATTCGAACCCATTAATTCGACTGGAAAAACGACTGAATGCACTTAAGCATACCCATAATGCTGGACTCGCACGCAGCACTTTTTTGACTGAAAATAACTTTAACGTTAACCGACAGTTGATGGAGAGCTTGATTCTACGGCTGCGATCTGTTGATCCGAAATCAAAGAAAAGCAAACGTGTCGCTAGTCGTGTAAAAGTGGGTTCGCCTAAGGTATGATACCGTTTTCTCTCTACGTGCTTTAGAGGATGCGCCCTATGCCTATGAAACCACAGGAACTTTTTAATCCACACTACACTAGTTACACTGGTTTTCAGTCAAAGTTGCATACGGTCAAGAGAATGCATCCATCTGAGTATTGCGATACTTCAGACTCTACGTTTTTGAAAGATTTGAAAGAATTGCCATCTCTTAATCCATCAGAGGTGGAAACGGTTTTGCTTAAAAAAGACATGAGCACACGCAGTTCTTGTCAGAAAGGCGAACCGATATTTCCTCCACCTCCAGATCCATCATGTGCTATAACTCCAAGGGCTGTTGTAACATCTGCGGGCAAGTCAAGTGCCTCAAATATGCAGCGTATTCGAAAAGGATCGCAGACCTTTAATTTGACAGGGCCTTCCCCAGATAAATTTACAATACCAACAACTTCATGCGTTCCTAACTTTGGACAGAGCATGCGTCCCAGTGGACTGTCATCAACTCTACCCGTCTCTTCATGTCCTTACGTGGATTTGCGTGCTAAATATGATCCCGATTGTTACCTCAGTGCGCCTCCAAATTACGAACAATTCGGACTCTCTGGGTTCTCAAATGACTACTCTGGTTTCACTCCATACAATAGGTCTCCCAATTACGCTCCTTGGATGTCATTAGGGAAGTATGATCACAATATATCAAATCGTGTTGCTCAAGGCTCAGCATCCATTTCACCTGACGGTGCACCCGGGTATAGGAACTATTCGGCCACTGCGGGACCCGAAAACTCCTCTGGATTCGCGACTAATTTGCCTTTTAACTCATCGTTCCAAAGCGAGGATTTTATGCAGGGTATACCCTCTTATCCCCCATCAATCGACCCGCAACAGTCGGCATATGGAATAAATTTGTCTTCCTATACTTATCCTCCACCAAGCACTACATCTTACATGTGATCACAATCCATCAGCGCCATTTTAACTGACCTGGGTCGCTTTATTGATTTTAATCCCTTGTTTTTGCTTGTAATGAATTAATCTGTTTTGCATGGCGTGGACGGAGGCATCTCTGGGCTTAATATTGATGCAAAACATCTAGACACGGCAAGGTGCTCACTGGTGAGAAAATCTTGGGCGAGCAATGTGTGTAAGAAACTCAGCCTTGGCAAAGTTTGAATTACTGATTTGGTCGATTTTTTTGCTACATGAAACTAGGATTGTGTATCCTTTTATTTTGCTTTGTTTGTGGGTGTTCGGTGATGACGTTGACAGCGTTGGTCTTATGAACTAATACAGTATCGAGACGTTTGTTTTTTTCGTGGGTGCTAGGCGTGACATAAACGAAACCCAATCGGCAAACAATGTGCTTTCCTAGCGTATTCTAACCTGTTGCGTCGTTGATAACACGAGAAGTTTCTCAAGATCTGGGGTGTTAAGGGTAACCTTTCTTTCGTCAGGGGAGTGCACTTTGTTCTGATTAATCCCCTGCAAAGCCGGGAGATAAAAGCAAGTGGGAAGACAGCTTACCCTCGCAGAACGCACAGGTCAATATAAACACTAGCAGTAGAACTCTTCCTGGCTGCTGTCTTATGGCATGCGGTGCGATCCAAGATAAATGAGGGCGCTAGTTGTACATTCCCATGGTCGACGGCAAAAGACAACCAAATCGCAGGAGACCTGTATGTAAGATTGCCAGACAATCAATCCCTTTCAAGTTTATTAGTCTCTAGGCTTCCCAGGTAGGTACACTACATGTTCCAAACATCATTCAAATGGTTCTCAGAAAATAGGATGTACTTCAAGTATCGCGGTCGTGGATAACGCGAAGACCTAGGACTGATGAAATCTGGTAAACACTATATTCGAGAGGTTGATATACATTTCAAAGTTGGTATAAAATAACTTTAAGATAAATGGGGCTACACATATTTCCCAAAGTGGTGATGGTTACATTTGCTTCCTGATAGCTCTCTCGGAAAGAATAGTGAGCAACTGTGAGGTGCGAGAGGCCATCTCACGAGCCTCTTCAAGGAGGCCAGCATGGGCCAGACCAAAGTCAAAAAGATATTCGACAAGAGCGGTGCCGAGAATACCATCTTCCGGATGGTTCGGCGCGGAGGTGACGAGACTGTAGAGGTACCGCACCAATGAATGCCGGGGGTTCAACTCTAGCACTGGTTCCATCAGTCGCAGCTTCTCCAATGGTGGTCGGCTTGCCAGAACGGTGCGTAGCAGATGACGCATCGCACCAGCCTCACGGATTTGCACGCAGCAGGGATGCTGCGAAAGCCGTTGGGTCACCTTCAAACATATACATACGTTATTCCTCAGTGCCTCTGGGTCAACAGCGTCGGATACACGCACAATTTATGCAATAAGCACCGACAGGAAGCTGAAACCACACAAGGGCAAATATAATGCCAAGTGGTGTTTAGTAACGTATTGCTGCAATTTCAGCATGCTAAACTACGCTCTATACTGATCAACTTCGGTAACCAGATGCCGTGGTTAGACCCCTTGTAAAAACCAGCAAAACTGTTACACCTCATAGTCGCATCTTGATGACAATTGGTGCGCCAAAGATAATGAGATCAAACGAAGCATGTAGGATGTAGTTAAAGCGTTTCGATATGCGAAAGCATAGATATGCAAAAAATGACAAAAAAACTTACCTTGACTTTCTTAACCTTAGACCCAAGCATTTCCTCCGCCCACTTGGCAAGGACATTAGCTTCCTCTTGGGAGAGGCAACCGCTCTCAGATTTCTGCACAACCTCAGTGTCTAAGATATCTTCCGCAAGAACCTTCTCAATCGAATACAAATTCTTCCGATCGTATTGGCCCAAATTCATCAAAACTAATTCATCATAGGGTTCATAGAGAAACAGCACCTAGTGTTTGAGACAATGCAATCATTAACAGAAAAGCATTACAATGTTTTTCTAGGCACGTCAGATCATGCGCCCATTCTGATGTTGACTGCATCCCAATAGTGGGCTACCGCAGAAACA